ACAAAACTATGAACCATTACTAGCTGTCAATTAAATCACGCCCCGAAATGTATCTTTAATGTCAATCAAAGTGGTACGTTTGATTTCCTCGAATCTGATTACAGTGCTGCCGAGCATGCGCATACAATTACGCGCAGACTCTTCTTTGTCGGCGAAAAGGCACTGAAAGGACGCCATATTGAAAAGTTACGGATGTCCGAAATTTAAAAGAAGCACGCACGGTTGGTAAAATAAACAACATGGAAGTGAAATGAGAAAGGAACAGCAGTATAAAGGTATGTTTGTCTTTCAATTTTATTTTCCAAAACAGTGTTGTTTCATCGTTTTTAACCTTCTTCTGAAGAAGGTAGTTTTGTAGATTTGTGAGACTGAGAGTGATCTCAATGACATTTCACAAAACAATCGTATGGGATGGAATTGATACTATACATTTTTGATAAGATTCAGGAAACACCTTTAAACATCGCAGTTACAATGCCTTCCAATTCCACAATACTTGTTTTCCGTCCACATCCAACATATTCGACTGGAAAATGTTAAAAGCTTGGTAATGGCGATACCAAGCCACAATAAGGTGAATGTCTTTGTGACTAGAGAGTAATGGAACAGTCGTGTTGTATCAAGAATTCGACGGTTTTTAATGAGTCCCGAGGCATCGACCATTAAAATGTCTTGGTACCGTCAATATAGTATATAAAGGATTCGAATAAGTAGATTCAAAACTAGTGATGGACTATAGGTAACATGGCTAGATATCAATGTATTGCAATATTTTTTCTGCAAATTGTTTTGGGTGTTATCCACTGTTATGAAATAAATTCACAGAGATAATGTTAATGATGAAGCCAAAACTGTATAATACAGTTTACATTTAACTATTGAAACTTGCTGAAGTGATGCTTACCTTTCGTATTTTTCTATATAGATTTTTTTTTTCATTTTCATGCATAGATTTTCTAGGAACACAATACATTGTGATATTGGAATATATCTAAAATATTTCCTTATACATTGCTACATGGAAATTGCTTGCAATAGACATCTCTATAAAGAAAACGTGTGCAAATCAATGAGAAATTATTTATCCCTCCATACCTTTGACATGTGTTGATTGTTTTTGATATTTTATAAAAACTTATTAATTTTCTATATCAATTTTTTCCAAATTTTCATTTAACCCCAAACCCGTCCCCTTTCCCCATACAAAAACCAACAATATAAGTGTGTCTTAGATAATGGCTTGCTGACACTTCTTTGATCAAAGGTCTTTCCCGGCAAATTTGTCAAAAGTCGATGTCATCGTTACACGACATATACTTAAAAGAAAACGGATTTCTGTAGTGTATTATAACTGGCTTGGAGTCGATCCAACTCAAAGCAGCTATCGGGCACCATGTGGACACAGGAAAGCTGCTTAGGAGACTAGTCCTTTCCTTACAGTTCCATTTTATCTGGTTGGTTGCTGCAGTTGTCTTCCTTTCGTTTTGCTGTCTCCTCAGTTTCTGTTATTGACTTTCCTTTTGTTCTGGTATATCCTTGACCCCTGATGTTGTTTTTACTTTTTCTGGTGTCTCTTCTGTTCCCTGTCTTTTATTAGTATTTGTAAAACCTTATAATTTTATTGGGGGGGGG